ATCTGTGTTGGAAGCTGTACAGCTAGAATGCTCCTTAGAAGTCAGGATGGCCAGACTTTGTTTCTCATATTTGGGCCATATTATTAGCAGGGACCATTCCCTGAAGAAGGACATCATGTTTGGTAAAGTGGAGGGTCAGCAAAACAGAGGAAGACCCCAATGAGTGGCAGCAGCAGTGGGTACAAATTTAGCAATGATAGTGAGGATAGTACAGGATCAGGAAGAATTTCATTCTATTGTACATAATGTTGCTATGAGTCGGAATTGACTCAAAGGCACCTAAGAACAACAACAATAATATCTCACCTTAAACCTTTTACAATTGATTGGTTTATCACATCAGACCACACCATGGGAGATCATTACATAAGTGCCACAATGTATCATTGCATAACTGACAAACTACTGAGAATCATGCCCAGCCAAGTTGACATATAGTTTTGGAGGACAGAATTCAATCCATTAAAAACCATAAACCATATTGTTTGTAGAAACAATTTAGGCATAGTGAGTGAGTCTTAACAGTTAGTGACTGAAACCCTTTCTGAAATCTAAGTTCCCAAACACTAGCCAAGGGTCAACATTGTAAGCAGACCTTTCTAAAGATAAGTTGTTGTTGTTGTTGTTGCTAAGTGCCATTGAGTGGGTTCCAACTCACAGGGACCCTGTAGAGGGTTTTTGAGAATTTAAAAATCTTTGTAGGAGTAAACGTCTCATCTGTCTCACGTGGAGCGGCGGGTGGGCTCAACCCTGCTGACCTTGTGACTTGCAGTCCAGTGCTTTTTCTATGAAGCCACCATGCTCCCCCAAAGGTAAGCAGTAGACTGCTATGTTAATTCTTTTCGGTATATCATCCAGCATAGAATGGTGATATAGAGATAGGATAACTACAATAAATGTGTCTATTTAAGAAGGCAGGATGAGAGGCACATAGCAATCACTGGTCTGTGGAAATTCTGAAACCAAACCAGGCACAGGTTTCTAGTTCTTTGATTAAGGTCTATATCTGCTCCGTAAGGAACCCTGGTAGCGTAGTGGATTACAAGCTAGGCTACTAACCACAAGGTCAGCAGTTTGAATCTACCAGCCGCTTTCTGGGAAGAAGATGAGGCTTTCTACTCCCATAAAGATTTACAACCTTGGAAATCCTATACAGGTTCACTATGAGTTGGAACCAAGTTGGTGGCACAGAATAACCACCAGCTGCTCTATGGGTGTGATACTCTTGCAATTCTTGTGTCTGTTTTCTTGACGCTGCACTTAGCTATTTTTTTCTTTTCTATAAGAAATAGCCTACGCTTGCTGATGAATTACTTTCTCAGCCTGCTTTCTTCCCACATAAAGTTTTGGGGCCCCAAGGCCTCTTTCCATTTTGAATGATCTGTGTTCTTTTCAGTACACGTTGGTGCAATTTTCTTAACATTTTTTGTGAGTTTTCTACTAATTGTGTTGAGGTTCACTAGGAGATAAAAGTCACACCCTAAAATTTCTTTGAGACACTTCCTCCTCTGATTTGGACTGACAATTCAGGTTCTCTGTGATAGTGCTGACAAAATTCTTAGAGTGTTTTTACTTAGTTGGAAGTATCTATGAAGCAGGCCTTTCGATCTCATCCCTTGAGATGATTTTTACCTAGAGGGTAGACTTTACTTTAAGTCTTTTTTATGAAGCCAATTTTTGATTTGAATGTCTTTTGCTGGTAAAGACTGGAGATTAGAAATAGTATTATTTTAGAACCTAGCAAGTCTTGGTTTCTTTACACTTCTTCTAAATTCTTGAATATTAAACAATTCCTTTTTCAGTTCAACTCTCTTCTTGTATTTGTTATAGACAAACAAAAAAGTTAGTTGACTCTTTAAACATTTTGCATGGATATTTCCTTGGACAGAGCTACAAGATCATTAAATATCTTTTATTTATTTATTTATCTTCTCATCTTACCTCAGGCAACAGTTTTGCCGAAGTGTCTGTCATTGTGAAACAGCGGTCACCTTTTTTCCCACCTTTAAAATGATTCCCTCACTGTCTTGTAAGCCTTCATTTGAGGCCATTTTAGCTTCAGCTCATTCCCTGTCCAGAATCAGTGCTGTGTTTCAGATTTCTTTTTACAATATCAGCAATGTCAGTAACAGGATTTGATCAGAGAAACAGTACCACCATGGAATACACTAAGCAGTGAGCCCTCTTTTCCCACCCACCCCTGGTAACCACTAATAAACTTTGGTCTCTCTATATACTTTCCTATCCTAGATGGTTCATATAAGTGGAATCATATAATATTTGTCCTTTTGTAGCTGACTTAGTTCACTCAGCATGTTTTTAAGGCTCATCATGTTGTGGTATGTATGTTTCACATGTTTATTTCTTTTATGGCTGAGTGATATGTCATTGTATGTATGCAGCACATTTTATTTATTCATTAATCTATTGATGGACATTTAAGCTGTTCCCTTGATGGTGTGTGATTTTTGAGGTTAGATTATAAAAGATACTGTAGCTTTCACCTTTCTCTTCTTTGGATCAGTAGCTCTGGGAAAAAGCCAACTACTATTTTGTTGAAGACACTCAAGTAGTTTGTGGGTAGGATCACATGGGGAGGAACTGAGGCCTTCAGTGAATGTTATTGTTGTTGTTGTTATGTGCCGTGGAGTCGGTTCTGACTCATAGTGACCCTGTACAGGAATAACCACTATTAATTACATAGGTGAGAACCATCTTGGAAGTGAATCCTCCAGCTCCAGGCAAGCTTTCAGATTACTACTGTGATACACCTTGATTGCAATCACCTGACAGGCCTCAAGACAGAACTATGAGCTAAACAGCTTCTAAATTCCTGTCTACCAAAAATATGAGACAATGTTTATTATTGTTTTAAGCTGCTACATTTTGGAGTAATTGGTTATGCTACAACAGAGACTAATGTAATCTGTTAGATTTGAAAGTATAACTCTTTTCTATAATGTTGTTAAATGCTGTCCAAATCATAGAGACCCTGTATATAGAGTTTCCAAGGACTGGTTGGTGGATTTAATGTTTTAAAATTTGTTTGGATTGTGAGAATGGAGATTGTGGAAGAGAGGAAATTTGAAAGTCCAGGATTTCCTGGCCATGTGACATAAAAAAAAAAAGCCTTTGAAATATCTGTTTAGTGTTTCCAGAAACCCAGAGAGAAGAAGGAGTATAATCTGGTGGTTAAGCTGAACCTTGAGAATTCGGGGGGGGGGGGGTTCCTTTTTTTCCCTACCAAGGGAAAGCTGAGTCAGCATGAAGAAATTAGAGGTTGAAACCATACATTTTTGCTGACTGGCAAACTTGGGTTGGAGCAGAGGAAGATAAAAAATAGAAACTGGATTCTGACCGAGCAAGACAAGTTGTGAGATATGGTGGTTAAGTGAAATGGATACTCCAGCACCCTCACTGTGAGAGACTGAGGGTCCCTTTTGTTATTCTCCTTTTCCTCCAGTTGGGCTATCCTTTGTCTGCCACACCATTTGATCTCATGCTTATTGTAGCAGCTTTTCTTTCTCTGCTCAATCCCAAATTCCCCTTCCTTATGATTTTTGGAGTGTGGTGGCGCTGGACTGTGGACCACAAGGTCATTGGTTTGAGCCCAGCAGCCAATTTGAAGGAGAAAGATAAGACTTTTTGCTTCCCCAAAAATGTACAGCCTCCAAAATTCTGTATAGAGTCACTATGATTTGGAAAGACTTGATGGCACTCAACAACAACAGTATCATGATTTTTCCCTTTCTTAATAAGGTACAACAACAATATGGTGCATACATGTTTGTTGTTGTAAGTGCCCCCAAGTCAGTTCTGACTCATAGCGACCCTGTACAGGGTTTCTGAGGAGCACCTGGTGGGTTTGAACCACCAACTCTGTGGTTCGCAGAACAGTGTTTATCCCACAGCGTCACACCAGGAGTCCAGGTACATACATAGCACCGAGGAACATAAAAAATACATAAAACAAAACTTTAACCGAGAGTCACCTCCTTTTGAAAACTCTCTGTATTTGTTCTCTAACTATTGTCCAGATTCAGTCTTGGTTTGGAGATGAGAGGCACCATGCCTGATGACTTAATCAGATTGGAGTTTGATAACAGTAATTATTATTCTAGAATGCCAGTACTGGAAGAATTTTCCTAGAGTATCTGGTTCAATCATGCTTATTTTATATATGGAGAATTTGAGGTCTAAAGAGCTTAAGTAACCATTGTCAACCAATATTAATGAAACATACACGAGGGGGCTTCAAAATGTTCATGGAAAAATGGAATTGAAAGATTATGAAAATTTCCACAAATGGTTTGAAGCCCTCTAACACAATGTGGAGGATGCTTGTATAAGTGTTTTTTAAAACATCCCACCCATTTTGATGAGTAAGATGGGTGGAGTGCTATGCTGGGGTCCTTGGGGACCTCTTATTATGTAAGCTCCGAAACAGCAGCATTACCCGGATCATACCCTTCCTAAGCTGTGAACTGACCCTTAATAGTTGGTGGTTATACAACCACCTTAAATCTTGACTGCATTCAGAGTCCACTACTAAATAGGAATCAAGAAACATTTGCTGAATGAATGAACCAGCCTCCCTCTAAGGCTTTTCCTTGCCTTCCCTCATCTGCACATTCTCCCCTACTGGGGAGTACCGCTCTAGCATTTGTGACCCTGCCCGGGGACTTTTCGAGGTCTTGACGAGTCTCCTCAGACACCGACTTAGTGTTCGGGACAGGGCACGGGCTCCAGCTCCCCTAGTTCTTTGCGTTTTCCCTCGGGATGTGGGCGCTAGTTTGGGGTGCATGCGGGGTTTAGGGTGGTATTCACAGTCCTAGATGAGACAGGGCGCAGGACATTCCTACTCGTTGGAGTGGGCCGATCCAGGGGCGGAGCCGCTACACAGGGTGCTGGGGACCCCGGCAAGCGCTGAGGGGGCGGGGCCCGGAGGGGTGGGGCCTGTCTGGATCAGGTGACGGTGCGGCGGGCGGAGCGGCAGTGGCGAGGGGCGTCACTGGCGCCTAGGGTCTGGCGGGGCAGGAGAGCTGTTTGGACCTCGTAGTGGCTGCCATGGGGAGCTTGAAGGACGAGCTGCTCAAGGCCATCTGGCACGCCTTCACGGCGCTGGACCTGGATCGCAGCGGCAAAGTCTCCAAGTCTCAGCTCAAGGTGGGCGCTCCCAGCTGGGTCTGGCTGGCGGGCGGGACTGGCCAGAACGCAGTCGGGCCGCCTGCCCCGGGCGGAGGGGTAGATTCGGATTTGGCATTTTTTGCCTTCCTCTTGTTTTCGGACCAGGGTCTTAGTCCCCTTAGGGCCCGCCTTGAGTGGGGAGAGGAGAGAAGTGGGGTCCTTTGAAGGGCAAGCCAGGTTTCATGTAGGCTGGGGGGCTCCCCAAAACTTTTGCACATGAAGATTGAGGTGGGAAGCTCCCCTACAGAACCTTAAGCAGTTTCCTCCTTGCGCTGGGAGGGGGAGGGATGTGCCGTAGGAAGGTCCCAGGACAGAACCTTCTATAGCCCACACCCTCCATCAAGACCTCAAAATGTCTCGCAGTATCCTAGGCGCTGGGGCATTCAGCACAGGAAGAAATGTTCTAGACCCGACCTTAGGAGGACTTGGGCGGTGGGAACGTTTCCTGACTTGTGCAAACCTTCCCGCCTAGAGTCTTCAAGGTCTGGAACTGAAGGGTGTGCTGGTCCCCCAGAGACCTTAGTTCCGGGTGGGGAGCACTGATCTGTCTGGCACCTTGCAAAAGCTGCTGCTATTGCCCAGTCTTTAGTGTGGCCGCCAAGGACCCCAGCACTCAGTGAGCGTATTAGATCTAAATAAAGGTTTCATTGTAAATCGGGTAACCTTAAACAGAGAAAATGGCACTTCGCCAGGAGAAATTGGCCACTTCTTGAAAGCATAAGATAAGGAAATAGACAAGAGGAGTAGTTCATAGGCATTTTGGATCCGAATGTCTGATTTTTTTAAACCTCTTCTGGAAAGTAATTTTTGAAATCGAATTTGCTTTGTAGATTTTGTGCACTAATCAAGGGACCCTTGTGCTTACTGTTTTTTATGCCAGTGGGATTTAGCATTCCTTTCCTCCCCCTCCCCCTTTTTTTCCCAGCTGGAAGGGTACACAGATCATTCCTTTAATTTTTATTTTACATTTAAAAATTAATATACAATAAATTTGAATTTTTAGGTGTACAGTTTTGAATTTTAACACATAATCCATGTATATCCAAAAAAAAATAAACCAGTTTCGGTAGAGTCTGTTCAGACTCATGGAGAATCCATGCGCTGTAGAGTAGAACTGCACGCACGCCATAGGGTTTTCACGGCTGGTCTGTTGGAAGATTGCCAAGGCTGTCTTCCCAGATGCCTCTGGGTGGGTTCAAACCACTAGCGTTTTTTAGTAGTGCAGGTGCTGAATTGTTTGTACCACTTAGGTGCTTTACCCATGTATGTTCTTGATGTTAATTTGCCTGGGAGTTGGTTTCGACTCAGTGACCCTGTGTAGGGTTTCTAGGAGTGGCTGGTGAGTTTGAACCATCCACCTTGTGGTTAGTGGTCCAGTGCTTATCCTAAAGCACCAGTCCATGTATAGAGTCATATAATTACCTGACAATCAGGATACAGAAAGGTCCCAACACCCCAAAAAGCTCCATCATGTTGTCCTTTGTAGTTACATCCCCCCTTTACCCTTAATTGCTGCCAATTAGTGACCTGTTCTTAGTCTTTATGTTCTGTTAAATTAAATTGAGTGGTGTCTGACTTATAGCAACCCTGTATAGGGTTTTGAAGGAAAGGCTGGTGAGTTTGAACCACTGATCTTTCAGTTCATACCAACCTGTGGTCCAGTGCTTATCCTACAGCACCATACCAGGATTCCTTAGCCCCAATAGTTTTGCTTTTTCTAGAATGTTATACAAATGGAATTATATATTATGAGAATAAGTCAAAAAGTATTGGTATAAACTCATAGAAACCTTTATTAAACAAAAATAAAAATGTCAACATGTGAAGCTATTATTTCTCAACATATCGTTTATCTAGGTATGCACACTTCTGAAGGTGGTGTTTCTAACTAGACTCTAACCCTTCCCTGAAGAATTCTACACTCTTGGATGTACATCATTTAAAAATGTCAGTTTTGTCATCCTCAAGGAGCTCAAATCGTGTTTCTTTGAAAGGTTCTTTGAGTTTGGGGAGCAAAAAGAAGTTTGAAGGGTCAAGATCAGGGCTGTAGAGTGGCTTTGTTGTTGTTGTTGTTGCTGTCAAGTCGGTTCCAACCCGTAGCGACCCTGCATCGGGTTTCTGAGGAGTGGCTGATAGGCTTGAATCGCCTACCTTGCAGTTCAAACTGACTTTGCAGTCTAGCACATTAACCCACAGGATGGCGTAAGGTAGATCAACAAAATTCTAGGATAGCCTTTGTTACCATGGAAGAAAGAGCAGATGCATTGTTGTCATGATGGGGGGCAAAAAATTCCTTAGTTCAGCTTTCCTGGCCTTTTTCTCACTAATGCAACTTTCACTTTTCTTAAAACTTCTTCATAATAAGCCTTCTTAATTGTCCTGTTTGTTTCAAGAAAATCTATTTGGGATTTTGGGGTCTCAAAAGACAGTTGCCATAACCTTCTGAGTTGCTTCTCTGCTTTGAATTTAATTGGCTCAGCAGATCTCCTATGAAGTGACTATTTTGAGTGGACCTTATTCTCTGGATTGTATTTATAAATCCAAGACTTATCTCCAGTTAATGATTCATTCCATAAAATTATCTTCATTAACTTTGATCTTGTTTAAAAGACTGATGAAAAAATCAGCTCTTTGAGCTAGCTGATCTTGTGCAGGATCTGTTTTTTAATATCCTTTTTCTTAGAGGGCATCCTAAGGAGATGAAGACAATGTATTATTATGAGAACTTGTCTGCAGTCATCCTTTGATTACAGAGACATGTTTGAACACATTTTGTTTGGAATAAACCCGTGCACACATATGAGCTACAACCCTAGTAGCAATACTTTGACTTACCTCCTATATAAACTTTTGAGACTGGCTTCTTTTTTTAAAATGTTTTATTGTGAATTATGTGATAGTTTACATGGGAGAACATTAGCTTTACATTCATCCTATTGTATATCATTTCATTGCCATAGTTACAATCCCCTCTGTGCATCATCAACCAACCAAAGGATATATCCCACAAGCCTGCCCCTCGGTCGTCAACACACAGTCCCTCTCCCTCTCTGGGTCTAGGGTTCCCAGCCGCTCCATCTTTCCACATCATCATCTCTACCTCCATCTTTGGCGTCAGTGTTTCTCTGGGTAGGGTCTCACACTCTGCTCTTCTCCCTTTATGGTCCCAGGGGCCTCTGATCCTGGACTGAAAAGTCAACCACTCCCCTCCTTTTGCTACAAAACGTCCACCTTTACATTTCCAACCCTCATAATCAGTCCTGATAACAATTATTCACTATTGTATCACAAGAGACCTATCCGCATCTCCTTTCATCAGCCCTGCCTGGACAGATTGGATACTACTCATTGGAGATTCTACCTTCCTCCATGCCCTCTGGATCTAGGCTCCCTCTTGAAAGCTTGTAAGCCAGTCACTTCTTGCCTTTGTAGCCCTCCCCATTTTGGGTACCCAGTGTCCAAATTTCCCATTCCTGTCTACCCTGTGTACCAAGGGGTGGGAATGATCTTCGCTGTAAAGATTTGTTCCCTCTTTTGAGCTACTGCATCCATAGGTGTAGGTCAGGTTCATCAAATTGTATCAGATTGTTCTTTTTTTCCTCTTTCTTCTTCTAGTTGAGTTCTGATCATCCAGCCATTGAAGCCAGGTGAAGTGGGTATTATTTGCTAGTGTTGGTGTTCTTGTGCATATGCTCTCACATCTTACCAGCTGGACACTTCACTCTCCACTCTAGTCCTCTGTGGCTATGTCACTGACTCTGGACCCAGGAGTCCCCAGGTCTTGCCATACTGCTGGCCAATCAGGTCTCCTCCTGGGTTCATAGGAGTCTATTGAACTTGGTAGGACTTAACCTCACAGCTTCATTGCTGTGTTTCCATCACTTCCCCTTATCGGTAACCAACATGTTCACCAGTCAGAGCGCATGTCTGCTCGTGTATTCCCTTTGAGTCTTAGTCTTGGAAGGGGGTTTGCCCTGAGGGGACCTGTCCACTTGCCTTGATGTCTCCTGGGTGAGCAACTTGCTTGTTCTTGTAGTAGTCAGTCAGACTGCCATTATTGTTTTTTTATTTTTCATGTTGGTCTTTCAAGAAGTATCTTCTGTTCTTCTAGTCGCTCCAGGCTGGTCTTCTTGTCCTTTCAAGTGGAAATTTCTCACCTCAGAAGATTTTGGATGGGGTTCAGGATTCTACCTCTGGTCTTATGCAATGCAGAGGCTTTGCAGAAAGCCTTCTTCACTGGGCAAATTCTAGCCCCATTTTAGGTATTTCAAGCAGTTATAGGCAAAAGATGGATTTACAAGCTTTCTATGGTGATATTTCTGGCTATTCCTTTCTCTCCCCTTCAAGTGTCTATTTTATAATGGTATGCAAGGGAAACCAAGATTCAAAAGATTGCCAAGCATCTTAACATTATCTCCCCTTTTACCCATTCAAACCATGCCTCAATCCCTGTATCCCAGAGCCTTGTTGTTCTAAGGTTGTGCATACATCATTATTTACCTCTGTCCCACTTAGCCCATGCAAACCTGCCTAACTGTTCTCCCATCCCCCTCTCTCTTCTTGTGTATTGCCCCCCTCCCCAGCACTCAAACTATCCCGTGTCTATTCCCTACCCTGTGCTCCATCTTCCCTTCTGTCCTTCACCATACCCCCCATATCCCAGTAACCAGCAAAGAATCCCCATTCTCCTTTTAGTATGGGTTCTTTTTCTTAGTCTTTTACAATAGTGGTCCTATACAGTATTTCTCCTTTTGTGACTGACTAATTTCATTTATTTCAACATAATGTCCTCAAGGTTCATACATGTTATGTGGTGGCTTACAGCTTCCTTCTTGTTCTTCAGGGTAGCATAATATTCCATTGTGTGTATGTACCACAGTTTGTTTATCCATTCTTCAATTGCTGGCCACTTAGGCTGTCTTTGTCTTTTTGCTATTGTAAATAGTGCTGCTATGAACATTGGTGTGCATATATCTACT